CTTTCACCTCGATTTGGTAAAACCGTATTTGAAACATAAAAGGGGATAAAATGACAAAAGTTTTTGACTCATTTTTGGTGCGAGCTGAAATTATAACTAGATATTACTATAGGTCTATGCATATAAGTTGGATTCAAACAATCCCAGACTATCATATGATGCATATCATTTCTGATAGAGTTTAGAATCGCTTTATTTCTTTATTCGAATGAACAAGACTTCTAGAAAATTGTGATAAATTATTGGCAAGGTCTTAAATGATGGCAAGTCTTAAAATGTACCTTATCGTTGTTCAGCGTTGTTGTTTCTGGCGGTTCGAAGTTTCCGATCTTGATCAGTCGCTCCTCGTCGTCCTCAGTAATCTCGAGCAAAGTGTTCTCGGCCTCTCCTGCCTTCGGGAATCCCTTGTCGAACGCGACTCTTACTTTTGAAACGTAAACTTCAGACGAAGATGGCTTGGCGATCGTCAGTTTCGGAACAACAAATTGTTGCGAGAATTCGCCTTGCTCCGGGAATTCATCAGACGTCTGAAATAGGCAAAGCATTAAAAACAATTAACACGTTGAAACTTCGGGATATGTATGAAAATATAGGTTCAACTTGAATGATTTTTTTTTCATTGTTTCCTTACGTATAAACTCAGTTTTTAAAACTCAATTGTAAAATGCATTGATGTTTTAATCATTTGCTTATTTTCATTATATTCTTTTGGAAATTTGAGGCCAACTATCATAATTTTATTTCATACCTGGAGGTCTACTGCGAAGACAAGTGTTTCCACGACAACATCTGTGGATTGTTCGGTTCCGAGAGTTTCGTCAGTGATGACCACGTTGTATTTGTCCAATTCTTCTCCGCTTTCTGGACAACACAAAAAGACTTAATCAATTGCGAGATCGTAAAACAATTAACAAGAAAAATGGACACTTTTAATGAACTAGAAAAACCAATTAGAAAGAATGGGCATTTTTTCAACTACTTTACTTATATATTTTCAATTTAAGAGTATATGATTTGTTCTCTTGTCATGAAAGGGGGAATGCTTCAGTAGGATGTATCAAATATGTAATAAAGTAATAAAGTCTCAGAGAAGTTTTCACTTTAAATTAATTGTCATTCCGTCTAAGAAGGAAATGTCCACTTAAGTTTCGCTATTTGACATTACAGATCAAAAATATCGCTGTATAGGCAGCAATCTCGCCTTTTGATGGTCTTCTAAGAAGGATTAAGAAAATAATTACTTATTTTAACTTTTTCATTTTTTCAATTTTTTTTTCATTTTGAAAGCGAACTTATGATAATCAATACTACTAACCGTCGTAATACAAGACCAGTGACTCTGCCGGCTCAAGTTCATCTGGATTCTCGAGTGCATCACAGACATACGGCTCTTCCTCCGTGCACCCCTTGACCTTGACAGCAATTGAGACTGTGGTTTCCAGAGGAGCCACTGGTTCCAGCCACACCTCCACAATGTCGTTTATGGTGTCTACAGGGTCAAGATCTGTCGCAATCAGAACCACGGATGTTCCTGTTAAACAGACACACGTTTACTACTTTGAAGTTTAAAATACATTCAGAGAACTCATCACATTGAAAATCTTTAATGCTCAGCAATATAATGGTACCTGATATAATGGTACTATATAATGTATAATTACAATATGAAATACTATACAATGGTACCAGATGACCCAAAACTTATTCTGTTGGCAGTGGCAAGCGCAGGAACTTTTGACGGCGCAGCTTTAAAGAAAAATTCGCCGACTTTTTTTTAGGTCAAAAACAAGCCAAAAAAGTCGCTATAGGGCACCTTTTGGGAAAAGTTTGACCCAAAAAGTTTTTGCGCCCGGTTCCCCTTAAAATTAGTACGCATTGGCGCCATTGACTTAAAAGGTACACTGAACAGCGTTAGGCTGCGTTTATTTTCTTGTGCTGGGAAAGTATGTTTCGGGTTATTTACAAGGATTTGATTTGACGAAGAACTTACCTGAGAGTTTTGAGAACACCACTGGAGTTGCGGTCTCGTCGCTTAAATCGATGACGTTTCCGTACTGGTCGATGGAGAGCAGTTCACCATCCTCGTTTTTGAAGATGGCTTTCACTTTGAACTCATCCACCCCATTAACTATCAGCTCAATCAGAGAGATGTTCGACTAAAATATACAAGGTTTTCAAAGCAAATCAAGCAGAGCAAAGTTTCTTCAATCATGCAATGAGGACGATACATTGGAGTCTTTCTTGGACGCAAGATCAAAGAGGAAATGTGGACGCAAGATCCAGCCATTTATTCCGATGTAAAATTTTAACTTATTAGTTTCATGTTTTTAATGAGCTTAACTAAATGAAATCAATCATACTTTTCAAAAAACTACTTCAGTTAAAGACCAATTACTGTTTGTAAATCATTAACATATTTTTAAAAGTTTGTTATGAGATTGCGGAGGTTTCTGTTGTTGCGTCAAGTACTCCAGTCAAGGTTTCGAATTTGATTTTTTCTGACCTTGTACTGGAGGAATATGGGGATGATGGGCTGGTTAGGTCCGACAGTGAGTCTGTCTACTCCCAAATTACTCGTCAACTCCACATCTTCGCCTCCATTGGCGAACTCATTGTAGTACCCATACGCATCCATGTCCACACTCATAGGGTAGTCACACACCTCTTCTGGAGCTGAACAAAGGAAATAACTTTGATTTTGTTTCATGTAGCTATCATAAACAGGATTAAGTCATAACTAAATAAAACTGTAATTATATAAATATTATTTTTCGAGGAAAAAATGGTAAAGTATCATTTCAAGTTTTACGCATACAATTTGTTGACACCCAAAAAAAAATTTTAAGGATGATTCGAGCTATGATTATTTAGTCGAAATCAAAAATTGAAGATAATTTCCGCGGACTTAAATTAAACGTAAAATGCAGCGTAAAATGTATTATCAAGTTTGTGGCATCTTAAAACTGAAGAAAAAAAATCTAACAACTAAACTTAATGTTTTTTTTTGTCCTGATAGTCAGTAAACAGAACTTGATGATCTGAGAATTAAAACTATCAGAGGTCAAATCACTCACGAATGAACGAGGTAGTCTCGCTTGTAGTCTCTTCTGGCCCTGGTGTGGTCTTTTCAGTAGATGGAGTTGGAATGTCTGTCTTCACACACTGGTGGGCTGTGAAACTGGCATGGAAACACTCATCTGCTGGCTTGTTTGCATCTTCAGATGTGTAATCCACGCTGTCTCCGTTCATCCAGATGTAGTAGTACCGGTCGGCCAGGTAGAACTGAGAGGACAGGTCATCTGCAAAAAAATAAGTCTTCTTTCTCGTTAATTAATTTCCCCGTAATATAATATATATATATATATATATATATATATATATATATATATATATATATATATATATATATATATATATATTCGGAAATACGACAGAACTTTTAGACAGTATCCTTTCGTCGAGTACTTAAGAACTAAAAAAGCAAACCACGTAAAAAAAATCAAACCAAGTAAAAAAAAATTTGTTTGGGCGATTGGAGTCGGTTCCAGTACATAGTAATCGGTAAGGTTGGGGTGATTAGGGTTAAAGAAACGTTAAGAACATAGTAGAAAACGGAAAAATTCAGACCATTTTTTCTCGACACTGAAACAATTTTTCAAAAATTTGTTCATGGAATCCGAATCATGACTAAAATGACTTTAATGCAAAACTGCGCTTGACCCTGGTAAGCTTTCTCTGAGGTACCGAAAATCGGACAAAAAACTCTTGACAGGTCGAAACAACAATTATACTAATTGTTACTTCAAAATACGTTTTAAAATGAATTTTTGATAAAGTTCAATACTTTTGTCATAAACTGCTTCTCTGTTACCTTTGTTCAGCAGAGGCAGTGAGATGGTAGTGTAGGGAGACTCCGTGTCACTTGAAGGGTTCGGCCAGTCGAAGTGCTGCAAAGCAAATTATGATATAGAAATTTGTCAGTCAATCATATGGCAATTGTTTTTTCATTTCAAGCTTCTTACTGAATTTTAGTTTCCTTTTTTTTCTCTGAAAACTATTTCCTGGGTTATTTTATTATTGAAACAGAGAGTTTGGTCTTTAAAAGATAACTTTACAATTCAGCATACCTTGCACAATTGGATCTTTGGTTCAACTGTGGTTCTCTCACTGATGAAAGCGGACTCTACGACTGCGTACTCCAGTTTGCCCGAATCGGGATCCTCTTTCACACAAAACAATTCCTCGAGAGTTTGCAGCTGCATCAGGACCACGAAGGTTCCGGGAGAGTACTCGGAAGCATCATTCGGCGCCATTCTGGAAACGATAATGTCACTTTTCAAAAAAAACAAGGAAAATATCAATATGTCAATCAACTTCTTCCATACGTGACAATTAATCTTCGCTAGAAAAAGCAAAATAAAATCAGACAAACATTAAGCTGAAAAAATAAAATGAAAAAATGAGCTTTTTTAACACTATTATCTTATTAAGACAAGTCAAAAAGTCATTGCTAGGTACAAAAGTTGCATATGCTTAAGCAATCAATTAGTCTTTCATATGGTCGAAAATATTTACTTGTACCATAAGGGAGACAGTTCGACTCAAAAATGGAAACGAATAATGTTTGGAATAGTCAAAAAAGCAAAACACAAAAGCGAATCGTGGTTAACATGTAAGCTAGATGATAAGACTTCGCGAGCTTTAAGAATAGCAGATTTTTTAAGACACCTGCTTGTTATGATGTGTTCATATGTCGCCTAGTTCCATCATCACTTACCCTCTTTGCACCACGATGTCAGACACATCAGTTTCGTCTTCGTCTGTGAAGCTCATTGCCAAAGTGATGTACGACTGGTTCTTCAGGCAGATCTCGGTTCCCTCTTCCGCTACTGAGGAGTCACTGCCGACGATACCAGATGAGGTGTCCACTTGCATCGTCTCGAGAAGCATCGAGGAGTTGGTGAGGATATAGTAGACTTGACCATCGGATCCGAAAGGTGTCACTGGTACTTCGCCGGAGGGCGAAGATTCGGGATCGCCACCAGCTGACAGTACGCGTTCTTCACACACACCTGAAGACAAAAAAAAACACTCCAAAAACTGAAAAAAATGAGGAAAAACTTAATGTGGCTCAATAAACCTTTGAGATTACTGCAACCACGCCCACTTAATTATTGAAACACAACAATTAAACGTATTCAGATGTAAAAAGTACAAGGAAACATATTTTCTTAAACACGAATTAAATTTAGAGATCACCAAAAATTATACGCATAAGAATCAGAAGATTCTTAAGTTGCGACAAGAAAAAGAAGCATATTTTACCTGATCCACAGCCGTATGACTCCAAAGTCAAAGCGAGATCCTCGACGCCCTCAGCAGCGATCTCGATGTCGAGCACGACCCTTGATGCTAGGACGAAGGACTCATTGAACTGTACCTTGACCAGACCGTCTTCATCAGTGGTGAACTTGGCGAAGTTGGGTCGTCCATTGCTTAATGTCAGTTGTGTCGGGTCAGATAGGTTGTCGAAACTCAGAGCTGGTGACTCGTCGGTCATCCTGAATTAAGAAAAAACATCCGTTTGATAGAACAATCAACGAATAGAAGATTCACCATGAATTCCATACACTGGTTATAAAAGTTTATGCTTTGTGACACGTACGCAAACTTTTGACAATTTTTTTGCTACTTTTTTTTTCAAATGATCGAATGTTCTTTTTGTGTGAATAGAATGTACTTACTGGAACATGGCAGAGATGTACACTTCAGTTCCCTCTTCAACTGCATCCCCACTGTCCAGGTCGGTGAAGGTGAGAGAGAACCCATTCACGTAAGAGGGTTCTCCGAGTTCCATCACCACATTATCGTCCTGATAAATTAATCCAATTAACGTTCAATTACTGTCGCGAAAGAAACTCCTGCAAAGCTTATGCACTATGTCTATATGTCTATAAAAATTTAATTTTTATATCTCAGATATTTCTACGGAGCGCATTTGGCACAAAAATTTGGCCTCACGTAACTGTCACTAAGAGTTTCTTACAGTGTTAATTTGGATCAGACCGGCTGCGGTGGAAGTGGGTTGTCCATTTACAGTCAATGCTGTCGGTTCCAATGGATACTCCTTCACACATGGCACAGCTGAAAATCAAAATATCATGAGACTATTTTACATAGCTTGTTCAAACTTTTTTTCGAAACAGATTTTTTTCAGCTAGCTCAGTACAATTAATGGATTTTTATCGGGTTATATTTCAATGATTGGTCGTTTTTGATTGGTGTGTACTAACGCGTAGTAGTCGTCGTGAGAGATGGTGTAGTTTCTGTTGCCGCTGTTGTTGAAACACTCGTAGTCGATTCCTCACTTGGCGTTGTCGGCTCTAGCAAAATAGATAATAAAAATCAACCACATCATGCATGATTCCTAGTTTCGCCAAGTAAATTGTTTCTATCGAACATCAAATAACTAGCACATGAAGTTTCAAATTGATTTAACAAGAAAAATTCAAAAAAAATTAAAACAAGAAACTTTTTTAACCATTTTTGTTGTGTACAAATCCTGTCATTTTTTTTTTGTAGAAAATGCGATTAAGTTCTTTTTTGGTGCATGCTCACAGTTCGTTTAATTGCGAGGCGAGGCGTCTTTTGAAAACTTAAAGATTGGTTGAGAAATATCTGCAGTAAAATAGTATCATTGGGAAACTTTTGGAAAAAAGAGCAAAAAAATGGGGAATCAAACATTTTCAAGTTTTTTTTATCAACCTGCAGCCGAAAAAATTGAGAATAATAATCTTTTAGAAAGTTAACTATTTATTTTGCACAGCTCTGTTATGGACTTTTTATTTTGCCTTTTTTTATGGAAGCCAAATAAGTGAAACGGATTTATTGTATTAAATCTGTTTCAAGTGTTCGATTTCCATAAAAAAATCGAAACAGCCTTTCCAGTGTCCATCAAAAATGTATCTGCATTTTTGCTATTCAGATTCTAATTTGCGGCGACCCCCTAAGAGCTTGAATTTTGTTTGAATTTGTCAAAAGCAGGCAGCAAAACCAAGAATATATGTGAAGAGAAACGCTTCACTTTAAACTCGTCTGAAAAGCAAACAAATCTTTTTCGAAATTTTGATGTATCAATCAAATTAGAAAATAAAGGCCTTTTGTATGACCTATTTCTCAACCCTATTTGAGGTTTGCTTGTGGTAACTGAACTTGCGCGTAAAAAAATCAGAAAGTATAAAACATAGGCAACAGAAAGTTGGAAAAGTGTCATAGAACTCAAATGATTTCATTGCACACTTTTTAAATTACAAATTTTGGAGAATAAACATCAGTTAGCGGTCTTTTAACTTTAAGAACCTTTATAAGGACACTTTTTGGCACGAAATTAACCCAATTCGAAAAAACTGGATGAATAGGTAATTTTTCATTCCGCTGGAAAATCTGATAATTAAGTTCAACTTTTGAAACTAAAAGTTATTCACAATTTTTTGTCCCATTAAATTTTTTGGGGAGATACTGATGAATTTTACATTTAGAAATTGAATTTGAATTAAAGTGACAAAAATCAAAATTCAAACCAGGCAAAAAAATTGAGCGTGAACAAGAAGATTTAAGACTCTTTATTTGAGAAAAACAAAAAAATCTCTTCGTTCATCTTATATATTAAATGAAAGTCCTTAGGCGCTATGAACGCAAAGTTTTTCCATCAAACATAACGTTTAAAAAGCTTGGATCAGAATGTTCAAAAATCATTCAGAGCAACCATCGAGCTCAATGTTTGAGAGGCGTTTAGACAAGAATTTTTTTTAGAACTTTCAATCAGTCTAGAGTCTTTAAGAAGTTTCATCGATCCAGGAACTAGATTCAACTTTCAGACTAGACAGAACACGTCCACTTTTTGTCCAAATTTTTCCGTTTGCAGATTCATTTTAGTCTGAACGAAATCAATTAAAAATAGTAACCTTTACACTTAGAATTTTTTTTTCAGCAAACCGATTCGCGCGATGAAATAACTTGAAATATTTCAAAGTTTCATTACTTGATTAGTTTGTTTAGAAAAACATAAATTTCCCGCAAACCGATTCAGTGTATGAAACAAGTTGAAATTTTTTTATCAAAATTTCATCGGTTCAATGGATCCAAGAGAAAAACTTAATTGTTTCGCTACCGGTTCCATCACGACATAATTTGAAATAATTCAAAAACTCATACTTGAATACATTGGTTAAAAAAACTATTTCCAAGTTTTATAGCTGGAACAGCTTGTCTAGAAAAACTAAAACTTTTCCCGGACCGATTCGTTCTTTGAAATTTAAAATTTTTCAAACCGATGTCTTAACTTGAAATTGTTCGATTTTTCATTGCTTGAATAGCTTGATAAAAATAAAAAATAATTTTTTTCGAGCCGATTAATTATTGAAGACGGGCTGGTTAGTTAACACTTAAACGAACCTCATTAAAAATGACTCACACAATTACGAATAAACACACAGTAAGTACGCGAATAAACACAAATTTCAACCTACTATAAAGAAAATTTTTTAAATTCCCAATGATGAAATCAAATGAGGTATGAAAATGATGAGATACGTCAAATGTTTTTTTTTTGTTGCTGTTAAACTAAAGATCACTAACTTATGCATCCAACTAGTGACGTCATTTCGAATGCTTCATCCAGCACTTCATCTTCTGAGCAGGAGAGGTCAGTGGAGAAAGAGGGCACAAGCAGGATAGAGGAGAACTCAACTCCTAACAGGCCAGTCCCTTCCGGACCCGAAATGCCTGCTGAGAGCTCAGACTGCGTGTAGAGTTGCTGAAAAAACAAGTTTACAGAAAAGAAATTAAACGTCTCAGATCTCAACAATCAAAGTTATAATAAATAGATGCCAAGTTATTTAGTTTTTTCATAGGCACCTTTTAGCCTAAATTTCATCAAAAACGGTCAAACTTGAACAAAATTGGATCAAGTTATGCTTTTTATTTTAATTCCATTGGCAAAGTTTGAGCTTAAATAGTTTTTCTTTCAAATTAAAACTGACTGCCCTTTTTGCGCCAAAATAATTTCATATCAAACCGATTTAAGAAAAAAACTCACAGGTGTCGGAACGGCACTGGTTCCAATTGAGGTCACATAAGCGACGAGAGAAGTGACAAGCAGGTAGTCATCTGTGTCGTACTTGTACTGTGCATAGTACTCTTCCGAGGGCGTCTTGAACAGGACTGCGAACTTTGTCGAGGGGGGAGGGGAGAAAGGACTGCTGCCGGAGGGGGAGGAGAGAGACACTGCGAAGCTGGACACTCGCGTCTGAAATAACAACAGATGAGTTCACAATTAGACTTATAAAAAAACACAAAGTAAATAAAAAAATACCGACTTGTTTTTTTTTGAAAAAATCTCAATTTTCGAATTTCGAAAAAAAATAGATGACCCAACAGCTCATTAAATTTCTAGAAAAATTTAAAATTGGCACTCTTTTGATAAAATTAACCCAATTGGAGAAAACTGGATCAATAGGCAATTTTTTCATTTAGCTAGAAATCTGAAAACTAAAAATCATTACGACCTACTATAAAAAATCATCATGAACTACATAAGAATCTGAACTACGTTCATCGACTCTTATAAAATAGATTTCCTCTTGGTTGTAAAAATGATCATTAAATAATTTTAATTAAAGAAACGCTATCACTACTCACTCCTTCGTCTCCTCCGGGAAGGTTGACCTCTACAGCATTGATGGTGTCATCTATCTTGGAGCAGACGAACAGGTGCTCACTCTCAGACACAGACAGCTCGATCAAGTCATCCACGCACTCATGAGCTAAAACAATCATCACATCAAACCAACCACAATTTGATTAACATGCTGACGAGACATTTGAATGCTTCCGTCTGCGTCTATTCGCATTACATAAGGACCGTATCCGTAAGAACGTTCAGCAAATCAACGTCAAAATTAAACTATCAAAAGTGACTGAAATTCACAGTCATCCCATTCCCATCGTTCAAAACTGAATTCTGATTGGCTAAAATAAACTTTGAGCATTCGATCCCCAGTGGCATTCGATCCTCGTGAGGGATACACCCACTTTCATCTGTCATCTACCAATTCATGTTCATTAACTTATGTAAAGCATAGACCTGCAAACATGGCAGTTATGACCTTCCTTCCTCTAGTAATATACTTCCATTTTGGTTTAATAATAGTTTGTATGCATGACTCAGTATTTTCTAGTAGTCTTTCATAGAAAACTATTCAAATTTTCATCTAACTTGGGCTTTCAACCTTCAAAAGAGGCGAAATTTGACAATGAAGCACAAACGCTACTCACGAGTTGTTGACGCATGTGTTGTCGATTCTAAACACAAGATTTGGTATTCAGCGCATTAGTTATAGATCGGCACATACAGTTGGAAACATCGGCATTTGCAGAAAATGTAGCATAATGTTGAAGACGTTTCTGCTTTAATGGCCGATCACAAATTGGATAAATCTCCACCTTTTTGAAACACTTTTTCTTCTCAAAATGTGTTCCCTGTGATTATTGGGAAATAAATGAACAGTACTAACTGTAGCATCCAATCAGATTCAAGTCAATCAATCCCTCCTGACATCCCTTGATGGTGAGAGTGAGGGTCTGAACCGAGATCTCCTCCGAGGGTTCCTTATCATTTGAGAACATGATACTAGTAGTAGAGACCTCAGGAACAACTGCGGTCTCCTCGTCATTGTCATCGGTTGAAGAAGGCGCAACGTCGATCCACGAAGGCTGAAACAAAGTGTATGTTTACGTTCAAAGTAATATAATTGCGAAATGATGCAGTAGGCTTCAGCTATGCTGTCCTGGAGAAAACTAGAACTTGTTTATCATCACAACCAGGTAGAGACAGACTACCATAACGGCAAATTCATAATCATAAAAATCATCTGGTCATTTTAATGCTGTTTGACATGAATAACATAGGTAACATGCGAACTTTACGTGTTAGTTTTTATTTTACAGTCATCGCCAACTTTTTATTGAAACTCACTTCTTCAGTTGCCGGCGAGGCCTTGAAGATGTTTCCTGACACTTGTTCCAGTACGTAATCGGTTCCAGACTCATCTGTAAACTTGATTGACAGCTGGGATTTAGGTGACAGCCCAGTTGCACTCAGTTGAATCTCCATGACTGATTGAGCTTCCTGGGAAACAAACTGGACTTATGAGGGTCTCTCAAAAACTGCTGTTGATTTTAATCAGATTCCTAACTATAAAGACTAGTTTGGGTTTATCTTAAAGGATTAAGAGATAATTTCCTGACGTTTAGGTGTGAAAACTACGACGGACTTTTCGTAGCCTCACTGACTTACCTCATAGCTATAAGAAGTCATATATTCTTCTCCTGGCGCCATTTCTTCGCACAGAAAACCAACGTCTGGCGTTTCTGTAGTCGTCACTTCACCGGATGGTCCAGCAGTAGTTCCTTCGCTGCCCGGCGATCCAGGTGGTCCAGCAGTAGTCCCTTCGCTGCCGGGCGATCCTGGTGGTCCAGCAGTAGTCCCTTCGCTGCCGGGCGATCCTGGTGGGCCAGCAGTAGTTCCTTCGCTGCCGGGCGATCCTGGTGGTCCAGCAGTAGTCCCTTCGCTGCCGGGCGATCCTGGTGGTCCAGCAGTAGTCCCTTCGCTGCCGGGTGTTCCTGGTGGTCCCGCAGTAGTTCCTTCGCTGCCGGGTGTTCCTGGTGGTCCCGCGGTAGTTCCTTCGCTGCCGGGTGTTCCTGGTGGTCCCGCAGTAGTTCCTTCGCTGCCGGGTGTTCCTGGTGGTCCCGCAGTAGTTCCTTCGCTGCCGGGTGTTCCTGGTGGTCCCGCAGTAGTTCCTTCGCTGCCGGGTGTTCCTGGTGGTCCCGCAGTAGTTCCTTCGCTGCCGGGTGTTCCTGGTGGTCCCGCAGTAGTTCCTTCGCTGCCGGGTGTTCCTGGTGGTCCCGCAGTAGTTCCTTCGCTGCCGGGTGTTCCTGGTGGTCCCGCAGTAGTTCCTTCGCTGCCGGGTGGTCCAGCAGTAGTTCCTTTACTGCCGGGTGGTCCTGGTGGTCCCACTGTAGTTCCTTCGCTGCCGGGTGTTCCTGGTGGTCCCACAGTAGTTCCTTCGCTGCCGGGTGTTCCTGGTGGTCCCGCAGTAGTTCCTTCGCTGCCGGGTGTTCCTGGTGGTCCCGCAGTAGTTCCTTCGCTGCCGGGTGTTCCTGGTGGTCCCGCAGTAGTTCCTTCGCTGCCGGGTGTTCCTGGTGGTCCCGCAGTAGTTCCTTCGCTGCCGGGTGTTCCTGGTGGTCCCGCAGTAGTTCCTTCGCTGCCGGGTGTTCCTGGTGGTCCCGCAGTAGTTCCTTCGCTGCCGGGTGTTCCTGGTGGTCCCGCAGTAGTTCCTTCGCTGCCGGGTGTTCCTGGTGGTCCCGCAGTAGTTCCTTCGCTGCCGGGTGTTCCTGGTGGTCCCGCAGTAGTTCCTTCGCTGCCGGGTGTTCCTGGTGGTCCCGCAGTAGTTCCTTCGCTGCCGGGTGTTCCTGGTGGTCCCGCAGTAGTTCCTTCGCTGCCGGGTGATCCTGGTGGTCCCACAGTAGTTCCTTTGCTGCCGGGTGATCCTGGTGGTCCCGCAGTAGTTCCTTTACTGCCGGGTGGTCCTGGTGGTCCCACTGTAGTTCCTTTGCTACCGGGTGGTCCTGCAGTAGTTCCTTCGCCAGATGGTCCACTAGGAGTTGTTTTGGCAGCTCCTGAGGGCGTTGTTGTGAACGTGGGTGTTGGAGGTGGAAGCTCCACCATTTCATCTTCGCCGCATGGCGTGATAGTTGAGAATCCAGTGATTTCTAGAATAAGATGGCTTTGATCAATTAGGTGCATGTTATGTTATAGATAAATTCATCCGAGATCCGTATAGAAGTTCGAAAATAAGGAAATGTTTTTCATTTAAAGTTAACTTAAAATTCTGCTGTTTTTGAGAAAGTGCAATTAAAATAAGTAATAAAACTTTAAAGTTGACAATTACTTATAGCTAAAAACCACTTTCAGCGAGCATTAGAGTAATGCGTTCATTTTCCAACAAACTTTGAGTGATTTAATATAAAAAATACACTAATTTTTCTTTCTCATTACTGGGGCAATTTTTTCATTGCTTTGGAACTCGAATCACAACTGAATTTAATGCGATACCACGCTACTGACGCTACTACCATTTTTTGAGGCAAATAAAACCGAACGAGAGGGACAGGAAAAACTCTAGCCTTGCTCAATTAATGAATTTTCTCCCATTAGTAAACTAAATTTAACCAACGAGAGGAGCTCTTGGTTTAACACGAAAAATTTACCCAGAAAAAAAGAGCTGTTGTTCCGACCATTGAAAAGGGAAAGCAACTTTGTATTCGGATGTGCTTAAGTTTTTGTTCCGAACATAGAACATAAGGAGGAACTTTGTATTCGGATGTGTTTTATTTTTTTTCTTTTTGTTCTCCACGAAAAATCAGGTGCCACAAACAATCACCGGAGTGGGTTGAATGATGTATCATATTGAAGCCTTTGCAGTGGTTATTCGAACCACATTGAAAATTTCAAAAAAATTTTCCCCGTGTCGAGAAAAACCGGATTGAAATTTTTGATTTTGCGTCTCATTTCGAGCGAATAAAGCGAGCGAGCAGTCTTATTTTAACTGCTTAAAAGCTTAGAATAACTTAATTTAAATAGTATAACTTAGTTTTACTTGAGTAAGGTTAATTTACTTTGAGTATATTAACGCCCTTTTAGGAATCAAAATTTAAAGAATTCAAAAAACTGCGAAGCTTGAAAAAAAAAATATTTTATTTTTCAAGTAACTTTTCTAAAAAAAATTGGTTTTCAATTTTCTTATTTTACTATGACTGTCGAATATACCTAATCTTCGATTTGTTGTTCAGCTCCTTTTATCACACTACGCTGAAAAAAAACGACAATGATTTGAAAAAACTTTGTTGTATTTTTTAAGACTATGGTCTCGGAACATTCTGTGCCACTTGCACTGTAACCGGCTATCCTTGTTTTCTTTTGTTTTTCTTTTTTTGTTTTTTTTTTGTTTTCTACGCCAAATCAGCTTAGAAAAAATCATTGGAGTGAGCTGAGTGCATATCATTTAAAGGCCTTTTTAGCTGTGATTCGAATGACATCGAAGAAATTTAAAAAGCGGTTCACATTTTTTGTTAATATTTTGTCTAATTTCGGGCGAGTAAAGCGAGAAAGCGGGCTTATAATAGCTTATTTATGCTCATTTTAAGCCTCTCAAAATTAGTCTTACTCGAGTCGAATTATTTTTTGCAAAACTTTTGACGCCATTTTGGGAATCATAAAGTTCTAATTAGAAAAACATTTTATGACATTTTTGGTTTTCTACTCATTTTTTTTCAAAAAAAATGTTGTCGAATTTGCTTATTTTAGTATGAATTTTGAATTTGCCTCGGTTCTAGTTTTCCGTTCAGATTTCGGCGCATAACATTTCGCATACACAAGCAAAAGTATGACTGATAACGCTACACAGAATAATCACACCACACTAATTATTAAAAAAATATATAAATTTTTAAGACTATAGTCGGAAAATTCTGAGCTATCCTCGTTTGAAATTAGCATACAATATCGCAAAACAGGGGATTTCCAAAATTAGCATAGACATTTTTTAAGACCAAGGTACAGAACAATTTGCGCTATTTGCCCAATAACTGCTATCCTTATATACACATAAAAACATTTATTAAACATTTTTGCAAAATAGGATACATCAAACCATTTATCAAGGACGGATTTCTTTAACAGAGCCTGATTTTTAAAAGAATGTTTGTATTTTGCACAAAGCCTCTCCCAGTGTTTTGCCGTAATATGTGCGCAGAATAGAGAGGATGTCGCAACATGAAACTCTTCTCATTAAATTGTGCAAGCAAACGACAAGTATTTCAGAAAAATTGTTAAGTAAAATGAAAAAAAAATCGGTTAATAATTTAGAAAATAAAGGTTAAAAGTTACAAAAAAAACAAAACAAAGAATTGATAACGACAGATCCTCAGAAGACGATTTAGAAGAAAAAAAAAAGATTTTCTCGAGGATCGAAGGAAAAAACTGCGAAACCTCGAAACTAGATCAAATTATAGTTTTGTTTTTAGTTTAACTTCACATACTCTTTTCAATGTGATCAAACAGACTATATCGAACAAACTAAGGGCATACAGAAAGAATTGAGATTTAAGCATTGTGTAGAATTCCAAAAAGGTATGTAGTTTTTGAGAAGAAGGTTTGATGTGATTTCTTGCTTCGAATTACCTGGTGTTGTAACTTTCGTAGAGGTGAAGGAAGTTGTTGGGCTAGAAGTGAAAGATGTAGTAGGTGTCGGTTCTGAAAAAAATATGCGAGATTATCAATGAAAAGCGAAAAGAGCAATGCGAAAAACTTCATCTGCTCAGAACTTTTCATTGCCTTCCACCTTTTTTCAATTATGTAAGAATCGATCGAGAGGTCATTTTTTAATTCTAAAACTCCACTAGTGCAATTTCTTTACATGAATGCTCTAAATATGTTTTTTAAATCACGAGAGCTGAATGATCTCTAGTTTAAATGATGTGGGAAAAGGTGGATCCAGCTATTTCTCAAAAGATTCCGAACCATTTTCTAAATAGTGACTTATATCGTTCGCTCGCAAAACATTTCTCTTCAGTGAATAAAACAAAAACGAAAGCGGAAAACAAGCTTTTTACGTGACATTAAAACCTTTTGGGTGACATTTATCTTGATGGTAAAGAGTGACTAACTGTAGCATCCGATGAAGTTGAGTTCGACCTCTGGTTTCACGCAGCCCTCGACCTTGACCTTGAGGGTGAGAGAAGCGACCTCTATTTCTAGTTCAGGCGCATCATCACTGTTGAACATGATTGTGTCCACTTCGGATGCAGGGAACCATGGCACAGAATCCTACGAAGAAACACGCGTGATAATTAAAACTCGAAAACTTGAGGAATTTGAATTTAATTACATTATCAAAATTATACAAAGGGATTCACACATGCATCATCCTAAAATCATAATAATAACTTGTTTTGAGGGAGAAAAAAATACAAAAAATTCACAAAATGACAGAGTACTAAATTTACCAATGTCTGACAAGAATGACTGAATGAGTAAAACTTTGAGTCTACGAAACTTATTAAGTGACGCACGCCAATTATGACGTATTAGCAGGACCAGTCAAATTGAAAAAAAAAAAAGAAATTTACCAACTAACATGCCCCAATTTATAGAGCAGTCTATGGAGCAGTAATAACATGAAAAAATTAAACGTAACAAAAATTATACGAAAAATGATCACAGGTGAAATATCTTTCCAAATTTAAGCTCAGGACAACAATACTTTTTGAATGATATAACAAATATCCCACCAAAAATGGCTAGTTAAAAAGTCGAAAATTGTCTGAAGAAAAAACCCACCCCGGGCACAAATACTCCGTTACGTTCGTTACGATAGTCGGAACAATAATAGTCTGTTTTAAAATCCTTAGCTTTGGCTGTACTTAATAGCTGGTTGTTGATTAAAATGAACACTCTCAAAATGAACACAATTTATCGCGACAATATTTGCGTCGCAACAATATTTGCGACTTAGGTTGGAAAAAAAGATAGTTCTTACTATAACAGAAGTGTAATCAACCTTTTACTCTACAATACTCGAATAGCTAAATAAATCTTTAAAGTTTTTATAAAATTAAGAAGTACCAGCTGAACTTTTTTCAAAACTAACCACATCATCCTTGGGTACTCGCTTGAAGACGACACCGCTCGCTCTGACAAGATAGAACTCGTTGAATCCGTCAGAGAATGTGATTGACAGCTCCATCGAAGGGTCGCTTTCAATGACATCAACAGAGATCTCCATCACTGTTTGCGGGTCCTATAAAATTTATATAAATTTTAAATATTTATATAAAAGCACAAGGAAAGCCAGTTGCTGTACAAGTAACACAGAAGAAGCCAAATGTATTCAGACCAGATTTCTCGACACAATTGCCGAGACACATTTGTGATTTTTGATTTTTTTTTGGAATTCGAATATCGCTGAACAGGGCGTTAAATTGATACGACACTCGATTCCGACAATTTTTTGAGGAACTTAATAATGGTCAAAAAACACCCTACCCATAGTTTCTTCCCTCCCATTTTCGGATCACATTAAATTTTAGATTTTAGCATAACTTAGATGAAAATTTATGAAAATAGAGATAGTAAAAATTTTCAAAAACATTGACTGGTCAGCACCCCCACCATATTCTCACCCCTGGTAAAAATCTCAATGCGAGACCACTAATCGCAAATATATCTACTGACCATTTTGCTTCAGAGAGTATTACTATTTTTTTCACATATTGTTATCAGAATTCGCAAGTTAGCGATTAGCGCGGTTTAATTAGTGATGCCAGAAGCCAGCTCTTTATAATGCTTCAATAATTTTTACCAATTGATCTTTGAATCTATCAAATTTTAACACATAATAACACTTTCTTCAAGTTACTACAAAACTTGTTTCAAAGTTGATGCAAGATTTGTTGAAGACTTTACAAAAATTGAGCCAATACCTTGAATGTAGAAATAGAGAAACGACAAATAACTAGAAATGAAGGATAAATTTGGATTTCAAACAGTTTCAAAATAATTAATTAAGAATTTGTGGAAATTCCTTGCACTCAAACAGTGTTCGACAAAAAATTAACAGAAAATCTTAGATATTGCAAGAACGTGCTCCGATATTTCATATAAAAAATCAGTACCACATTGATCACAACTAAGTAGTCTTAATAAAAAACCTCATTTAAAAACACTAGCAAGAAAACAAACAGGCCAAAACATTTCGGGGGTAAAAAGGCCAACAACAAATACCTCGTAACTGTAGAACACAGAAGTAATTGAGCCAGCAGGCATTCCATCTTCGCAGTATTCAGTAGTAGCTCCACCTCCCACGGTAGTTCTCTCGCCACCTGGTGGTCCCGCAGTACTTCCTTTGCTGCCCAGTGATCCTGGTGGTCCCGCAGTTGTTCCTTCGCTTCCAGGTGATCCTGGTGGTCCCGCAGTTGTTCCTTCGCTGCCCGGTGATCCTGGTGGTCCCGCAGTAGTTCCTTTGCTGCCCAGTGATCCTGGTGGTCCCGCAGTAGTTCCTTCGCTGCCAGGCGGTCCTGGTGGTCCCACAGTAGTTCCTTCGCTGCCAGGTGATCCTGGAGGTCCAAAAGTAGTTCCTTTGCTGCCGGGTGATCCTGGTGGTCCCGCAGTAGTTCTTTCGCTGCCGGGTGCTCCCGCAGTAGTTCCTTCGCTGCCGGGTGGTCCTGCAGTAGTTCCTTCGCTACCGGGTGGCCCTGGTGGCCCCGCAGTACTTCCTTTGCTGCCCGGTGATCCTGGTGGTCCCGCAGTTGTTCCTTCGCTGCCTGGTGATCTTGGTGAACCCGCAGTTGTTCCTTCGCTGCCCGGTGATCCTGGTGGTCCCGCAGTAGTTCCTTTGCTGCCCAGTGATCCTGGTGGTCCCGCAGTAGTTCCTTCGCTGCCAGGCGGTCCTGGTGGTCCCACAGTAGTTCCTTCGCTGCCAGGTGATCCTGGAGGTCCAAAAGTAGTTCCTTTGCTGCCGGGTGATCCTGGTGGTCCCGCAGTAGTTCTTTCGCTGCCGGGTGCTCCCGCAGTAGTTCCTTCGCTGCCGGGTGGTCCTGCAGTAGTTCCTTCGCTACCGGGTGGCCCTGGTGGCCCCGCAGTACTTCCTTTGCTGCCCGGTGATCCTGGTGGTCCCGCAGTTGTTCCTTCGCTGCCTGGTGATCTTGGTGAACCCGCAGTAGTTCCTTCGCTGCCCGGTGTTCCTGGTGGTCCCGCAGTAGTTCCTTCGCTGCCCGGTGATCCTGGTGGTCCCGCAGTAGTTCCTTCGCTGCCGGGCGGTCCTGGTGGTCCCACAGAAGTTCCTTCGCTGCCAGGTGATCCTGGAGGTCCAACTGTAGTTCCTTTGCTGCCGGCTGATCCTGGTGGTCCAACAGTAGTTCCTTCGCTGCCAGGTGATCCTGGAGGTCCAACAGTAGTTCCTTTGCTGCCGGGTGATCCTGGTGGTCCAGCAGTAGTTCCTTCGCTGCCGGGTGGTCCAGCAGTAGTTCCTTCATTGCCGGGTGGTCCTGCAGTAGTTCCTTCGCTACCGGGTGGCCCTGGTGGTCCCGCAGTACTTCCTTTGCTGCTCGGTGATCCTGGTGGTCCCGCAGTTGTTCCTTCGCTTCCCGGTGAACCTGGTGGTCCCACAGTAGTTCCTTTGCTGCCGGGTGATCCTGGTGGTCCCGCAGTAGTTCCTTCGCTGCTCGGTGATTCTGGTGGTCCCACAGTAGTTCCTTCGCTGCCGGGTGTTCCTGGTGGTCCCGCAGTAGTTCCTTCGCTGCCGGGTGTTCCTGGTGGTCCCGCAGTAGTTCCTTCGCTGCCGGGTGTTCCTGGTGGTCCCGCAGTAGTTCCTTCGCTGCCGGGTGTTCCTGGTGGTCCCGCAGTAGTTCCTTCGCTGCCGGGTGATCCTGGTGGTCCCACAGTAGTTCCTTTGCTGCCGGGTGATCCTGGTGGTCCCGCAGTAGTTCCTTCGCTGCTCGGTGATTCTGGTGGTCCCACAGTAGTTCCTTCGCTGCCGGGTGATCCTGGTGGTCCCACAGTAGTTCCTTTGCTGGCGGGTGGACCTGGTGGTCCCGCAGTAGTTCCTTCGCTGCCAGGTGGCCCTACAGTAGTACCTGGCGTCGTCATTGGTGCTATTGTTGTCCCGGTCTTAGTTGGTGGAGGTAGCGTAAACATTTCTTCTACACCGCATGGACTGATGGTTGTGGTAGGCGATGATGTTGTTGTTGCTTCTGAAACATATTTTCAAGATATAAAACTGAATTTTCATATTAGTAATATTCAAATCAAATCTAGCTAAACGGTGTTATTTTCTACAATGGCAGGTATATGATTTTGGAAAAGCATAATTTGATTTCAACTAAGACGAGAATTCTACTGTAAGGACTAATTTCAAACTTGATAGCATTTCGAGTTCAAATTGAAAACTAAGTTTTAATCAAGTCTACCAAAATGAAAAATGATGGCTTACGTTCGTGGCAATTGAGAATTTGGGCAGTGAATGTAGTGTCGATGTTTTTGATGCACTCTTCTGTTAGACTGTTAGCTGAGCTCTGGGCGAATATCTCGATGACAACTCTCACAGCCAGCAATGTGTCTTCTTCTTTGTCCAGCAGATCGACTGACCCGTCGAATTTCTATAACAATTTTTATTCCAGCAAAGCAGACTAAAATAAGATGGATAATTTCTGATTAAAAAGCGATGATAGCAGTCTTTGAAAGCTACAATACAGAGGCGAAGCTGAGCTTCGCATCACTTGCAATACAAAATAAAAAGCCGCTGTCAGAAAAAAAAATCGAAAAAAAAATCGATCGAAAAAAAATCGAGAAAACTCGATCTATCAAAAAATAAGGCTAGTTTTCAAGTAAAAAACATGCCAAGACAATCAAATGTGAAATAAGCATCGGAAGAAAATTTACCAAACGGTAACAAAACCGAAAAATACCTTGGCAAGAAACACTTCAAGCCGAAAACAAAATCAACAATTAACAAGTCCCCTCACATCCAAAACACAGACACGCACGAACAATTTTTTTTTCGCACGTCGAAAGACGCAATATAAGCATTAGAGCGATATTATATAGGCCAAAACCTATCAAGCCAAAAAAAAGAAAAGAAAAAAAGCCGAAAAAAAATTGTTGTCATGCAAAACAAACTGAAATTTCTATAGAAATTTTTAGCATTTTGTGCGATCCAGAGGTGAGGATAAAAATTTTGTTTCCTCCGAAATGAATCGAAAGTAAATCACCGAGCCAATAAAAAATCATTTCGGCAGAATAAAGTTTTCAAGCAAAAAAAAAAGTAAAGGCTCGAAAAAATTTCAAACATCAGAGGTAAATCAGAACACTTAAGGCAACTATAATGTAGAAACAAAACAAAAAAAAACAATTCTACAATACCACAAAAAATACAACAAAAGACTTGTACCCGACTACAATACCCTAGCTATCGCAAGGGTAAAATAAAATCTTTGCTTCATCACCATTTTTTCGTCAACTTCAGCAGCAATTTTGAGTAAAAAACTGTTTAAAAGCCATTGAGTCATTACTTCACGACTAGATGCTTAGTTTATGAAAATTATCCACATAAATTGGTATTTATAAACAAATCAAAAATGTCATTTTAAGATAGAGCTTGCAAAAATTGCTCAGAATTATCAAAAAATCAAACTTTTTGTTTGTTTATGTACAATTTAAAATGTTACACAGAGGCACAGCTGAACTTCGTACCTCTTGTGATACAACAGCAAATGACTATGATTAAAATCAAATGAAAAATAGAAAAAACTTCAAAAACCGTTTTTGTCAAAAAAAAAACATATAAAAATTGCAAAAAAGTTCTAAAATCAGGAAAAAATTAGCTGCGCTATAAGGAACTTTAACAGGAGCTTTCAAAATGCTAGAAAAAAGCCAAAAATTCAAATTACTTTTTTTGGAACTAAGCTGACAAAAATAGGCAGATAGACAAAAAGCTAAACTAGCCGAAAATTTTCAGTTTTCAAAAAAAAACAGATCGCAACTGGAATCGAATTCCCGGGCTTTGTTGTCTTAAACATTGGTGTTAAAAAACTTGAAAGAAAGTTTAGCTTTATAGAAAGTTCGGGCTACACGAGTTAAGCTGATAAAAATAAACAGAAGGACAATAGTCCGAAAAAGCACAAAAACTGAAGTGTACAAAAACCAGGTCTAGGCTAGATTCTAACAAGCCTTTGCCATCTCAAGCAGATGCTTCATATGATTGATTGAATTTATATTTACCAATAAGTAAAAAAGCCGAAAAAACCTGAGCAGTAGCCCTTCATGCCGACAAAAACTCAAAAAATTCTGATCTAACATAAAAATTGAAGTAGCCTTTCGCTAAGAACACACACACGCACACAAAATTTTTTCGATGATGGAGCGACGCAAAAAGAGGCCACTAAGTTGATATAAAATAGGCCGATATCTATTAAGCCGAAAAAAAGAAAGCACAAAACTTAATAAAAGTGAATTTTCAACAAATCCAGTTGGGAAAATTACGACCAAGTTACAAAAGAAATTTCAACACAGAGGCGAAGCTTCGCTTCGCAAGTTCTAGCCAGAATACGACCAAAAGCAGTTCTATTAAGTGCGTTAAGAAAAAAGAGAAATAAGCCTCGTATTAGTAAAAATTCGTTTAAGTCTCGGATTCGATCTAAGACCTAGATATTATGCATCTCACGGACTAACCACTCAGCCTCGGACTGTTATTAAATCACAAAAACTAGCTACAAATAAAGCAGAGAACAGATGCTAAAAAATTTCCAATGCTATAGATCGTGATCAAATGCTATAGATCTTCATTATAGCAAAAGTGCCACCAAATAAGTGAACACTTTTAATGAACATCCGTACACTTTTAAAGAAAGTTCGTACTAATACACTACGTTTCGCAAGCTCATGGTGTAATTAGGCCGGATATTTAAAATGCTAATATGCCCAAAATAAGTCTGCTGAAACAGAAAAGCTCAGGGTATGAAACCTGCGAACAAAGTTATTTATGAAGAAAAGTCTAGTACCCGATTGCAATACCCTGGCTTATCGCAAGGAAAATCAAATTATTGAAATTGCAACAAATTTTTTTATTGTTTTTTTTCTCTTCAGCAATTTTAATTTTAATCTTAACTTCCATTTACAATTATTTTTCTAATTTAAAATTTTATGTATTTAAACAGATATCATTGAGTATAACATAATTCCTAATTAGTAAATGATAGAGGTTACCTGTGCAGTTGTGGCAGTGTACAGTCCGTCATCTTCATTGTAGGCGACAAAATACTCTTCGAAGTTTTGGTCTGTGATCTTCACTGTGAACACAATCTGCACTCCATTCGACAACTCAGTCGGAGACACTTTGATCTCGTCTATTTCCTCGCCCTGAAACAATTTTCTCTACTTTTAGAATAAAAATGATAAGAAAGAAAAAGAAAAATGTTCGGAGATTTATTTTAAGCAACTTTTGAGCAAGGAAACTTTACCACAGAAAAAATATCGACTTATCCTTTGAAAAAATGTCAACTTTCGAATTTTTGAATTTGTAGAAGAACTTATGATTGACACCTTTTTGATTAAATTAACCCAACTACGTTCATCGACACATTAATAAATCAGTGTATAATATCACATAATTAGCAAATTCAAACTTGCCTCTGGGTTCAAATCAAGTTCGATGAAAATTGAATCAGCTTCAACAGACAACATCACATCTTCAACTGTATCGTCCATCGCGATAGCACACGTGACCTCTTTGTCACCCCCCTCGACAGGTGTCATGTCTGTCTCGGTGCATGGGGTGGGGGTGGTGAGGACTGTGCTGGCTAGAGTTGGGGCTGGGGTTGATGCGAATGATTGGGTGGTGACTGTTGTCACAGTAGATCCTGGGGGGATCGATTCGGTCGTGTAGACGGTTGTTATTTCTGTTGTAGTCAATTGTGTGGTTTCTAAACAGATGTTTAAATGTGGTCAGTCGAAAGTTATCCTCGGATTTCAAGTTCCTCGGAATTCAAGCGTACGCTCCCATTTAAACGTATAAATTGACCTTCAGCGCACTTAGAGAAAAAATGGATGCCATTAACTGTTTCCGAATGCAATCAACTGTAATTTCTGTGTGGCAAAGAGATGAAGTTCCTGAGAGTCCTGCAAGTTTTGTCGATTATATATTACTTTCATATCAGCTGATACTGACCAGCCGGTACACATCCAGTGTAGTTGGTCTCCACTGCGACTTTGCTGCATGCTTTGATCACAATCACAATCTCGTCTACTTCCAGACTGTCTGGAACTGTGGCCAGCACATCCACCACTGTGGGGTCACTCCCGTCCGAAGTGGGGAGGGAGGAACCGGCCAGCGTGAACTGCTTCACAACACTCTGTATGGGAAACAAAAACGAACATCTCAACGCGAAGAAATCACAAAAAGGGGCAAGATTATATTTCTTTGTGGTATAAATTTCAAATATAAGTGCTGCATAGGAAAATCACATATTTTCTAAAAAATTAAAAAAGATAAGATTACGTAAAGATTTTGAAAAAGTTTTTAAGAAGACCAAATTTTGATTCAAAAATGTTGAGGATGATGAGGTTGATCCTAAATACCATAAGATAATAAAAATATCGCCGAAAATTATTGTAAACGAAAAAAAAATAATACAATAACAAATGAGTGTTAAAATCGCAACCAGCTTCCAGTTAAATTCCAACTCACAGGTGAGGTAGATTCGTCAACTGGAATGATGTTTCCAAATTCTTCGCTGATTGTGAACGTCCCAGTCACCGGAACTATCTCTGGAGTCGCCGCAGACCCCCCTGGAGCAACGGTTGTGGTGATTCCTTGTTTGACGACAAACAAGACTTCGAATGTGAGAGAAGAGTCCTCAGGAATATCAGCTGCCGAAGTTGGGTCGATGCTGATCACCAGACTGTCGAGGTACACGGTCTAAAAATCAACAATTGTGAAGCCAGAAACTACAATTTAACTGTTATTAAATCATTAACTGTTATTCAATTGTTATTACAATCATTGGACAATCGAAGAAAAACCTAATCGGATCTACATTAAAAACTTCTTCAACTGGAAATCCGAAATAAGAAAAATGGCAACTTACTTTAAATATTGATTTAATCAATTCGGAACATAACACGCTTTTTTGATTTCGTTTTTTAAATTTTCTCAATCATTTTACCATTAACTTGCATTTTTTGCAAAAAGTTTTTTTTATATCAATGAAAACGGTATAAGTGTTTGAATAAATGTAATTGTTACCTCGTCGAATGGGATCACTTGTTGTTCAGTCATTCCAGTCTCGCTTCCCTCTTCACACTCTTCAGGCACAGACACACTCTGCCCCTTGGTCTCCACTCCCACACTCATCTCCTCCTCACAGCTGAAGGGGGGAGTGGTGGTTAGAGTGGTGACGATGGTGGATTCCGAGAGGGAGGAGGAGGGGACTGTCGAGACTGTCTCGGTTGTGGAGGTGGTGGTGATGGTTGTAGATGTTGCTAAAAGATAACAGGTCAAAATAGACACACAAATCCATCATCTCAGAAAATGGGATTGAAATGCGCCCGTAAACAGACCATTCAAGAAAAATTCAAAAGGCGAGGTTATCGAGGCATTAGTTTTTCTTAAAACAATCATTGAAATGAAAATCTCAAGTGAGAGAAGAAGCTTACGGTGCGAGCAAGTCTGTACAGACACTTTGACGTTTTCCAAGTCTCCCGATTTAGGTCCCTTCTTGAGGTAGACCTCGGAGGCCAGGAACCCGTCTTCAGTCACTCCTGGCAACTCAGTTGTCAACAGGATGGTGAGCAAGTAAGTTTCGGGTTGATCCGGCAACTGGGTTATGGTCACATCAGGTACAGATTCCGAAGGAGGCTAAAAGTATGTCTCAGGTTATCACTTAAATAATAAAAAATTAAAACGCAAATAAACAAAATCTCGGGTTATCACTTTTTCTAGGAACTTACAAGACTAAATTAAGGATCGAGTAAACCAATTACAATAATTGGTTGAACGTTCTAACCTTTAATTACTGAAAATTCTAAGGAGAAGTTTAGTCTTGAGGTGAGTTTGCCCGGGTAAGTTGACTATATCACGGTTTGTCACCACAACATTATATTGGTATGAGTAATGTGGTTTATACCTAATTTCCTTCTATTGGAGATCAAAGCAGATATAGTAACGCAAATTAGCGTCGTTATGGATAATTTTTCAAAAGCAGTTCAAGGAGATTATCGATGATGTAACTTCAACTATATTAAGAAAAAGACAAAAGAAAGACTAACGTAGATTTGTACGGGTTCCACTGATGTGTCGAGGAGTGGTGACTTCACGAGACTCTGCTCTTTAGTTCCATCTGGGGAGAAGGATACCTCGAAGAAAGAGTCGGATCCGTCGTTGAAGATCACCACCAGAGAAGGAGGGGAGTCAAGAACAGGGTAGTTGAATGTCACATTCACTTCAGTCACAATCACTGCCTAGAAACAAAAAGTAAGTTACATCGAGTAGAAAAGAACTGATAAAAAGCTAAATTATCTTCGGAACCCATGATGGTCTAGGTCATGATTTTTCATTGTACGCATAGCTAAAAAAGGACTACTGTATAATTTTGCACAGACGCCATGCTGCGCTTTGCAAACACAAGCGAGGAAAATGCAAAAAAGAGCTCTAAACCGACAAATCAAAGTGAAATAAGGAAAAGGTAAAACATATATCTAGAATTTTTTTTTGTTGAGACAAGGATTTATCTGCTGGAAGACCGCTTTTAATTCACTTAGTAAACGTTCGGCCAGGTCTCGGATTCGATCTGCGGCCTACTGCGAACTAGAGATTAAACGTCTCACGCACTAACCACTCACCCTAACTTGCTTAATACATCACACACACTAGCCAGAGATAAAGCAGAGAACAGATGCTAAGATATTTCCAATGCTAGATCGAGATTATAGCAAAAGTGCCACCAAATAAGTGAACACTTTCCACTTTCAATGAACACTTTTGTGTCCGATTTAGGTTTTAAAAAAATGTTCGTAATAATCAACTACGCGGATCGCTAGTGCGAAAACTAGCCACCAATAAAGCAGGTACAGTTTCTATCAAATTGCCAATATCCTGCAGCAAAAACTCGACCAAAAAAAACGATTTCAATGTTCCGGGTTTAAATATTTGACCTGTTGATTAGGAGTCTCACGTCCTTGCATCTGCGCCACAGTTGTTTGGAAGTAATTTGGAGCTAATGCTGGATCTACATTTTCTAATTTTTAAAATCATATATTATTATATATTGTGCTGATACGAAAACGCGTAATTTCAAAATTGCAAAACAAATGGACTTTACGCTAAATCCTAGTGTTTCTCTGCTTAAGTAGGTGGTTAATCGCTATTTTGAAGGAGAAAACTAATACCTGTTTCTTCACTAGAAGTCTTGATTTCAGATTTGGCCGGATAGTTTTCGCAAAAAAGTGAAAAAGATTCCAACATTCGATCAAAAATTCAAAAATTTGACTTTTCATAAATCCATATACATTTCTCTTCTACAGCATGGGATTAGTCTTTAATGCAGAGAAAAATTCTACACTTTGATTTGTAGATTGAACCCTTAACATCAGATTTAGCAAGTAGTTTCCGCGAAAAGTCATGAAAACTATAAATAAGAACGGTAAAATTTAAAAAGGCATTTTTTCGAAGTCCATATCTGCTTTTCTACAAAAAAAAACAGGGTAAAACAGATTACGCACGGAGAATCTAACCATCATGTTAGCTTAAATGTCCTATCAACCTCAGAATCAGCAGGTTACTTTTTGAAAAAAAAGGAACAACCTTCCAAAAAACTGGCCGCTTGTGTGCAAGGACGAGCCATTTATATCACGCTAAGTTTTTACACATAAACCTTATTTGTAAATCTACTAGTATAATAACTTATAACTTACTGGGTCCAAATCGATGATTTTGACAGGTGCGCTGCCCAGTGGAGTCGACAAAGGAGAGTCTGACGTCACAGTGTCTCTCTCGTCGTCTACACATACTTTGAACTTGGTGGTTGTGGACAGTTCAGTCGTGGTCTCAGTTGTCACCACTGTCGTTGTCACTTCAGTCACTGTCGTTTCTACAAATAGCAACATTATATTTCGGAAAACCTTAAAGAAAACAGCTCAAAAAATATTTATGTAACTGTTAATTTGAGCGTTGTCATCATTTAACTTTGTGAGCTTGAAAAATTTCAAAAACTTAAACCAGAGCCAACTGACAGTTGGAAAAGAGTAATGAACGCAAGGTAACAGAAAAAAAACTTACTTGTTTTTTGATAAAATTCAACTGGCGAATTTTAAAGAAGAAAAATTTGTCGTTAAATCTTTGAATTTCACGAACAATTTATGTTTCGCCAGTTTTTTTTATTAAATGAACCCAATTTGAGAAAATTGTATCAACAGGTAAAACTTTTTGTTTGCTGGGAAATCTGATACTTATGTTCCATTTTCGAAATTAGTAGCCGATAACGTTTTTCGTGACCTTTACACTTTGGCTGTTCGATAGTGGAGTTTTTCTTTCTTTTCACAAAGAAAATGAAATGATTTTACAACAAATCAAAACTCAAAACGCGAAAAATTAAAAATGAGCGTGAACAAACTTAAAGACTTTTTTTTTCTGAAAAAACACAAAAAGTCACCAAAATCTTTATAAGATTACTCACTCACTATGTTCATTACTCTTAAATACAGTAATCTCCAATAAACTAATAAAACTAAACATTCGGAATTTTCGACGGTGGCATGGAATCGTACCGAAAGATCCGTTTGCCGAAAAAATTGTGCGTCAGTTTGCCGAAACTGCTTATTGATGAAAATAGTGTATCACCGCAAGTGAGATAAGACTCAAGTTTCTGTTTGTTTATCTCCTCATCGATACTGTTTCCAGCCTGTTCGGCAAATTGACACTTCGGCTCGATGGTCTTTCAACCTTTCAACACCTACCTTCTCCGCATACGTGCAGACTGACAACTGCATCTGGCTTCTTGCAATCTTCAGTTGGGGCTCCGAGGTACAGTGCCGATCCAGTGAGACTCACTCCTTTCACCACCACAAAGTCATCCGAGGTCACTTCTGCGAGAACGTCGGTGGGGTCATCAAACAGAGGGTTCACAGGCTGCAAAAAGAAGAAAAATAGTTTGAATTATTCCTTAAATAGTTTGAATAGTTTTTAGATTCGAGCGATGGAGATTGTATAACTATTCAAGGCAGTCCTCTAAACCGGTGTGATAAAAATGAAATTTTGTGAAATTTTGGGTAAGTAAAATTTAGGGTACTTTTTGGAAGATTCGGACTAAATTATCAAAAATCGCATTTTTTCGGCGCGCTTTCTACTCAAATTTAGTGCATATTGGCACCAAAGGAGGCGCACTTTGAAAAATTTCGGGTTAGTTGAGCAAAAAATGGATTTCGTTACTAAGAGGGGCACTTTGAGAGGCCAGTGGGCTGAGCATCTATGCCCAAAAACGCTGACCCCCTCACCCCATATACGCTACTGCATTCATTAAGTATATATTTTTCAATAATCGCTCCGATAGTTTTTCAAGTACTTATATACGCTGCTATAGCAATCGTTTTTGGTTTATTAGGAGATCAGAAGATATCTCATGATTTAACAATACTTACTCCGGAAGCTTCATCTACAGTTGTCAAAACAACAGATCCGACCAGAACTTTGACCTCCTTTGATGAAGTGTCAGGAATGTCTGTCGTCACCGCAACAATTCCAGTCAAGGTCACTGACTTCTTCACGCCATTTGCTGCTTCAATCACGAGTTTCAAGTCCTCGTCAACGGATTCCAGGTTAGTCAGAACCAAGTCCTCGACAGTCCATGATTCCATGAGGTCCAGAGGAATCTTGACAAATGTTGAGAGATCTGACATGTCCACGGAGCAAGGTGCCTCAGGCTGACTGTCTAGTTCTTTTCGGCCCAAGTGGGCGCATGTCAATTCAGCAGGGTACATAGGAGTTGTTGACGACGATGAAGTTGTAGTTGATTCTTCTAGAAACAGATTTTTCATTAATTCGAACCACAAAGCGCTCTGCAAATGCATGCGCTCTCTATGAAACCAGAAAAGAAGGTTGTTAGCCTAGCGCTTAAAAGTAAATTCATTTTAAATTTTTTTATTGAGCAATACATAATTTTTGAAAGAAAAAATTGTTATGAAAGCAAAGCGGATCATGATATAAGGTTTTATATGAACAAAATTGATACCAGAGTAACAAATTGCGTCTTAGTTACGTGCTTAGCAAAATTATTTGTGCAATATGGGTAAATTATTAATTGAAACAAAGAATAAAACTAACTGAAACATGATACGAATAGCAGATCAACAGATCCCTCGGTGCAGCCTTTGATGGAGAGAGTGAGTGTCTTCACGCTGATCTCGACTGAGTCATCCTCATTGGCGAAGAAGATCTCACTCAAGTCACTGCTGGGGCCCACTTCGAAGAAAGGCTCCTGAAAGGGTGATATAATTAGAAAAAATAAAAACTCAATTTGAATCTTATCTATGTTCGAAACAAACTTGGCGAGCACCATTTTAGTGCTGATATTTTCGATTTCACTTACGTTAATGTACTAAGTACTGTTTTCAGCTTTCAACCTACTGCTTCCAGTAAAATTATCTCTAAGGCAATCAATCGAACAACAATAACATGTGCTGTTTTACTTCAAAAATGGGTAGAGTTTTAGATTTAGCTGAACAATTGTTGCCGTATTTTTCGTAATTCATTCGGACATCTATGTTTAAGCTTTTTCGCTTCATTTTGGTTAGATGCTTTCTTAAATATGCTTAGTCATATTTCATTGTATATAAGCTATTAGAATCAATTTTCTCAATTAATTTCACTCACAGATCCCTCCTCGACTTGTTGCACGGGGACTTTCTTGAACACATTGCCATCCACCTGTTCCAAGAAGTACTCCACACCATCACTGTCATCCAGGAACTGAATGAGCACTTCAGTACCATCTGTGACTTCATCACTCACGCCCAGTCTAATCTCCATCACCGTTTGAGGCTCCTAAAAAACTCACGACATTTAAAAAAAATCACGACAACTTAAATAAAATCACGTTGTTCAAAAAAATCAAGATATTTAAAAAAATCAAGAGGAAAAATTACAATAACTAAAACAATTACGAGAGAAAAATCACGATATTCAAAAATATATATACTTTAAGTTTAAGATACTTATGAATAACACGAATTTTCTAACATAAAAAAGGAAACAAAACTGCACGCTTTGTATGTTAAGAAAAAACAAATTTAAGTTTAAAAACTGCGACAGATATTTAAAAAAAAAGAAGAATTGGCAAACTTTCATTCCCCTGCATGGAAAATTATACCTTTTTATAATTATTTATCAATTCAATCGGGCTAAATGCAGGAAATAAAAATGAAGGGCAGGAGCTTTTAAGAATGCCATCACAATGTTTATTTGTTCGGAATGATCTTTTGCTCTTCAAGCGAATTTTATGACCTCTTGGTCAAAAATTCGACCTACTAGTAAAAAAAATCGGTCGTTCCAAACAAACTATGATCCGTGCTTGTTGCAGGGGTGAGGCGACATTTCCCAGCCGAGGAAAAATAGAACAATTAATGTAGATGTTAAATAATGTAACAACCAGTGATTTTCATTCAACGCAAAAACTAAATTAAAATGTGCATTAAAATGTAAATGGAAGTCAATGGTTAACAACAGTGGGTGGTTCTCTATAAAGATGAGAACAGCTCGTCGGTTATTTTTTTCCCTGGAAGTAAAAACTCTCAACTTATCTGCCTATGGCGGTTAAAAACGTATCAGTGTGTAAGTGGTAAATCGCCAGACTTCTTATAAACAAATTGGTTTTTCAGATAAAAGATTGCTTTTTGTTAAATTTTTAATTTTAAAAGCTATTTCATTTGAAACAACCTCGATAATTAGCTTTTTTCAAGTATTTACGAGCTCTTTATTGAACACAAGCCAGCTAACCTCGTATCCATAGACGGCTCGGTTTTCATCAGAATCCATCTCATCACAGATAAATCCAGGACCGGAAGGTACCGCTGTAGTTCCTTCACTTCCAGGTGGTCCCGCGGTTGTTCCCACGCTACCAAGTGGTCCCACAGTAGTTCCTTTGCTGCCGGGTGGTCCCACAGTAGTTCCTTCGCTTCCGGGTGATCCTGGTGGTCCTGCAGTAGTTCCTTCGCTGCCGGGTGATCCTGGTGGTCCCGCAGTAGTTCCTTCGCTGCCGGGTGATCCTGGAGGTCCCACAGTAGTTCCTTCGCTGCCGGGTGATCCAGGTGGTCCTGCAGTAGTTCCTTCGCTGCCGGGTGATCCTGGTGGTCCCGCAGTAGTTCCTTCGCTGCCGGGTGATCCTGGTGGTCCCACAGTAGTTCCTTCGCTTCCGGGTGATCCTGGTGGTCCCGCAGTAGTTCCTTCGCTGCCGGGTGATCCTGGTGGTCTTGCAGTAGTTCCTTCGCTGCCGGGTGATCGTGGTGGTCCCGCAGTAGTTCCTTCGCTGCCGGGTGATCCTGGTGGTCCCGCAGTAGTTCCTTCGCTTCCGGGTGATCCTGGAGGTCCCACAGTAGTTCCTTTGCTTCCGGGTGATCCTGGTGGTCCCGCAGTAGTTCCTTCGCTTCCGGGTGATCCTGGAGGTCCCACAGTAGTTCCTTCGCTTCCGGGTGATCCTGGTGGCCCAACAGTAGTTCCTTCGCTTCCGGGTGATCCTGGTGGTCCCGCAGTAGTTCCTTCACTTCCGGGTGATCCTGGAAGTCCCACAGTAGTTCCTTCGCTTCCGGGTGGTCCTGCAGTAATTCCTTCGCTGCCGGGTGATCCTGGTGGTCCCGCAGTAGTTCCTCCGCTGCGGGGTGATCCTGGTGGTCCCACAGTAGTTCCTTCGCTGCCGGGTGATCCTGGTGGCCCAACAGTAGTTCTTCCACTTTTTGGTGTGATAGTGCCAGAAGGCGCCTTTGTCGTGAGAAGTGAAGGAGGTGTCACGGTAAACATGCCTTCTTCTTCACATGGTGTGATGGTTGTCGGCAATGATGTAGTTCTTTGGGTTGTAGGGGCTTCTAAAACATAGAACTTAATGATATTTGGACACGGTTAAGATCACGCAAGTTATCCGCGCATCCATAGACGGGTTATACACAAAATATCAATTTTTCAGTTGATTGATGCCCAGTAAGCTTCACAGATTGAAAAAACTTTATGCAGAAATGTCGAGGTTTACAGAAACAGTTTTGGCTTTCAAGAAAATAAAATTTGGATGATTAGCGATTCACATTATAATGTTGTTCACATTATAAGTTTATTCAAGCAGCAGATTTTTCAGCCGCTTTATGCATTCCGTAACCACCCTCTATAAGATGAGAGACAAGATAAATTTGTTTTTTTTTCCGCAAAAAATGTTTTGATACAAAAACTCTTTGCTTTATCAACGATAAAAATTTTCATCTTGCTTGTTTGCCAAGACCATCAAAATTCAGAAAAACAGTTATATCAGAAAGAGTAGAATTAGTTAAGTTTCAATTTTTGTCAACATATTCGGAGAAAATAAAAGAAATGAAACTAAGAGAGACCTCCTCCGCAGATATGGGCTGTGAACGAGTCCAGTTCCCCACAGTTCTCTGTCTTCACTCCTAGGAGCAGAGCGGGCACCTTGAGAGTGAATCCCTCGATTACAATGTAGTCCTCTTCAGTGATAGGAGTCAACTCAGACCAGATGTTGCCAGATGCTAGCAGAGGCGCCGGCTGGAACATGAAATAATCATATTCGAATTGTGTTTGAACCAGAAAAAAAACGGGCGCTTAAGAAATACTGCTGATTTTATGTAATCCTTGTCTACTTCAGTTTCTTACATAACTAATGACTTTTCTGGTGCAATTTTAAAAGCTTCATTTAAACATTGATCCAATATGTTATGTAAATCAATTCGTGATTTGCACCATGTTATGTAAAAATGTTCAGAAAGATTTCAAATTTGAAACTTTTTATTTTCATAACTGGAAAGAACTTACGCCGTCTTCAGTAACTTCCACAACTGAAAAGACTCCTGAAATCCTCACGACTCGAGGAGTTTCACCAGACGATGGGTTTACACTAGTTACGATAATCTGGACCGCCTTCTTCCTTGCCGTAAGATCATCCTCGTACACGAGACTCAGTGAGTCGTCAGAAATTAAGTTCACATTAGTTATAACTAGTTCTTCAATCTGGTCAGAGGGGTCATCGACGGTGATGAGTGTGAAGGTCGAAAGGTCAGTCATATTCACTGAGCATTTGTCTTCGATGTCTTGTTTGACTTCACCCAGACCGAAATCAGAGCAGACTTTCGTGACTGCAGTGGTGACTTGGACACTTGTCGTTTCTGTTGTCTCTGCAGCTGTAGTTTCTGGTGTTGTTGTTGTGGAGGGATCTGAAAAATTGTATGATTTTTTTGGTCGAGAGTTTTGAAACGCGTCACTAGATTAATCGCAATCACAAATGTAGGTTGATAAAATTGAGACACGCCTTAATCTGTTGCCCCATTATCATTTGGTAACAAATCGACAAATCGGTAATAATAACTTCACTAATCGGTAAGCTATCACGCAGAAAATCAACAAAATGCCAACGAACATGTCCAAAACGATGATGTGTCAAAACCAAAACAAAACGGTTGCCAACTTTGACCCAAGCAGTTAATATTTGGTTGAAAATCGACATTTATCCTGAATACCAAAGCATGTGGTGTAATCAATCTCACTTCCGACCTTTTTTTTGCATTGAGAAAACTTCGGCAGTCTTTTTTGCAACCTGGTTAACTTTGAAGGTTGAGTACTCACGGAAGCATCCGGTGGTTGTGACATCGATGTCTGTCTCCTTGCAACTCTTAGAGAAGAAAATGGTGACCAGTGTAGCATGTTCAAACACAGTCACTCCCTTTCTGCCAATAGTAGCAGTCAGTTTCCCTTCTTCGGTCGAGAGGAGAGGTACTTGCAGGGATCCCTCGGCGACTAGAGACACGAACTCAGGAGATCCGTCCTAGTAAATGCATCCGGAATTTAGAGGATCGGTTCAAAACACTTAAGCCTTAAAGCGCGCCTTAAAATCCCAGCCGTAAATGACAATTGGGACTAGGAAAGTTTCGAAACCCTAGTCTTCTGCCTTTCATTTAGAAACAGGAAAACAAACTTTCAAGCTGTTTTAAGGAAGGGTGAGTAACGCCTCATATTTCGATCATTAAAATGCTGCATAATTTTGTGATTTTAAACAGTTTTTTTTCAACGTACCAGTTCGAGAGGCTCAACTCCGAAAGTGCTGTTAAGAATGAGCAGAGTTCCATCTTCAGTGGTGACCAAGACGACCACTCTCGCTCCCACCATCACTGCTCCGATATCATCACCCAGGGTCACCACAAACTCCTCCACTGTCGAGGGCTGCAATTAAAAAAAGGCAATAACAACCATAAAATAAATTGTTTCCAATCTAAGGATACCATAACTAATACACGGTTACTATTTACACGTTTATTAATACAAAAATTGTAATGATTCTCATATGATTATGAAGTAAGATTTAAAGGTTTATTGTTCTGACTATTGAAAATGGGGAGGAACTTAGTATTCGGGTGTGTTTTAGTTTTTCAGGTACCACAAATAATCATCGGACTGGGTTGAGTGATATATCATATTAAAGCCCTTTCAGTCGTGATTCGAACAACTTTAAAAAATCCCAAAATTTTTTCTAGTGTAGAGAAAACGGGTTTGAAATTTTTGACTTTTTTACATTACTTTCTTCAAATGTCCGATCAACAATGATTACCTCGTCGAAGGTGATGAGTGACTTATCGCCCTCTGCACACTCCAGGACGGGATTGTCCAGGGTCTCCTCCTCTCCCTGTCCCATCTCCTCACACCTGCACACTCCTAGAACAAGATTCTTTTAAAAAGATGCACCAGATTATCTAATCACATACTCGACGCACAGCGGTTTTTTTAATGACAAGCTGAAAAAATTGTACTCAAAATCAAGAAACATCGAGATCGGCTGTGAAGCGATGAAGTCTCCAACTCTCAAAAGAAATGTCGGATGTTCTGGGCCTCCAGTGAGCTGTTTAGAAAATACCCAGCCGGAAAAAAAATGCACGTAGTTATTAAGCAGGGCTGCAACAGCGTTCAGTCGTGAAAAGCTCAATATCTTGCATGTTGGGTCATTTCCCTCGTCGATAACTGATCTTAAACACGATTAAGCTATTCTACTATACCTGTGCATCCGTGTAGAGAGATGTCCAGCTGGACTCCCTCTTCGTCGCAAGGGTTGAGGAACTTGAAGATGACTCGTGTGGTGTCTGGGAACTGTTCATTCTTCGTGAACTGCCACTCGAACGACACTTCAGTAGTCGAGTTCTCTATCTTCTGGGCGAACAGCTCCTTCTCAGACTAAAAAAAATCAAAATTACAGGAAATTAAAATCAAAACACCATTATTCTAAAAAAAACTTTAAGTAAAGGACGTGACTAAAGGCGCGATAGAATAAATTATTTTTCAAAAACAATTAACTGTAAGAATACTACCTATATCAATCAATACATCTCAAAGTTATGCCAACTTGTAGACCTAAGCTATTAATTAATTACAGATTATAAATTCTAACTTAAACGCTGAAACTCGATATAAACATGGTTTTATTATTTTGGCCAGCAGCTTAACTCTTTGCGCCAAAAACTTAAATGAAGCCATTAAAAGCAACCCTAGAAAAAAACATCTATAAAATAACTACTAGAAAGCAATTTTTTAAAAACACATTTGAGGCAAGCTTTTAACAAGTACATCTGACTCGGCACGGAAATCGCTCCCATCATATCGCTCCTTTTGCGTAACCAGACTTTTGAGAAAAAAAGTGTCTCACAGCTGAGTTGTCGGGAAGTATGCCGGAGTCCTGCTGTTCTATGGCCTCAGTGGAGTTGAGGAAGAAGACTCTCACAAATGAGGGGTACATGGCAGTGGCGGGCGAGGCCACGATCTCAAACGAATCCAGAACCGATCCCTAAACGCAGCAAAACAATTAACTTAATATTTTTCTATGAAAAATGGAACGGGAAAAATGTTGCTTTGATAAAATAAACATAGTTTCCAAAATGTGACAAGGGAAAATTGCAATGTGAATGACGAGAAATTCAAAAAAGCTTGAAATAAGAATTTTCGGTTCTTGAAACCTTATTATACAATGGTTTTTAAAACTTCATCTAATCTGAAATTAACCAATATACACTAAGATGATTACACGTCGCTGAATCTCAGGTCACCAAGCATATTCCGAAATCTGATTGAACTTAATGAACCCATGAAAAAATAGGGGTTAATATGTTTATCTCAAAGTATGTTGTTTGTATGGACAACTCACGGGTTTGAGGTCCATGACGACGTAGTGTCCCTCTTCGCACTTGGCAGCTGGCATCCTGTCGTCGATGACGTCATCCATCTCGTCCATGCAAGGGGCACATCCCTCCTCGTCCGATGCATCCCCACAATCTGGCCACCCGTCGCACACTCTGTCCTCGGGGATGCAGAAGCCATTGTTGGTGCACGTGTATTCCGCTTTGAGACATGGGTGACAATCTCTGCAAAAAGTTAATTAGGACCCTCTAACCATGCGGGAAACGATCAATGTACGAGCTATTCATCTATTTACGGAGAACCGCTATTCCATCACTGTTTTAAAAATACGTGGTGTTTTTTTGGGTTGTTTTTTTTCTGGACTGAGAATAGCTTCCGCACTCGCAGAAAAAAAATTATAATAAAATGAAAATTTCAGTCGTATTTCAAAATTATTGATGACTTAAGTCGGAACTTTGAAGTCATCGAGCGATTAAATCCAGTTCGAATTGAACGAACTATTTGATATCAACAGAAAATAAACCAACTCTTCGTCAGAGCAGTCGAAGCAGTCGCACTGTCTGTCACACTTCTGAGTGATGTTGATGCACTGGCAGTGAGTGACGTCATTGTTCAGTACTCCAGTGGCACCACACATCCATTCCTCACTCTCGTCACACTCACACTCTGCCGTGCAATATTTGTAAATTAACTAATAAGTTAATTAGTTATTTTAAGAGTTATATAATAATTACTTGGCAACGCAATTTATTGACCTTTACCTTTCTACTAGATCTTACAATTTATGTAACTATATGATACTAGTTGAATATTTCAAAGTTTACTGCAAATTCGGGAATGAAATTCTCTTTTTTATTCCTCACTTTTATTCCTAATTGTAGATTCGAGGTTGTTCGATAACTTTTAACGCATAATCAGAACTATTTTCAGTTGTTGCAGCCTACCGCATTCTTGTTCGTCGGACTGGTCGAAACACTGATAGAGTCCATCACACATCTCGTCATGAGAAACACATGTCATGTTGTTGTCACACAGACGCCCGTCACACGTCTCCACTACACAACAACACAACACAAAACAATCACATTGCAAGTCAAAGGAAAGTTTCAAAATACGATAATGAAAAATCTACTGAATTGAACAAGATTTCTGATTCTACTGACAGCAATTTGAAAATCTATTCCATTGATTATTCTGCCGTAGTATTAGTACTTAGTTGCGAAATAACTATAAGCGGAAGATCCTAGCAAGAAATTCAATATTAGAAGACACCAAAAGTACCTGCAATTATGAAAAAACTGTTCGAACAAATTGAATACCTTCAATGCAAAAATATAATTTTCTCTCGTATTTTCCACCTGACCTTCACATCACCATGCAAAAAGATATCCTCGATGTGATTAATGCGGGCGAAGTTAGAAGTGGGTCAGATAATGAGGTCAGAGGCCTCTTCTCTCAATGATTCGACCCAAAGTTCCCCCCTCCCCCTCCAACCCCTGAGACTATTATACATTCATTTTCGGCCAACCGCATCTGGTGGTGTTTATTTTTAAATTATTTTTGCTTCATCTAGCTGATTGAAGTACTAATTAAGCCCCTTTTTCCAACTGACCTTGACATTCCGATTCGTCGCAGCAGGATGGCGTGTCGCACACTCCGTCACAGTGTCCCGGAGGCGAGTAGCACTCGGTTTCTCCCTGGGCAGAGCTGCAGTTGGTCTCGTGCGTCTTGCATGTCACTTCACAGCCGGGGATGGGGGTGCACGTCATGTTTCCAGTGCCAGTACAATGGCTGGCACAAAATTAGAGGTTAGCATTAGCAAATTAACAACCATTAATGTGAGCATTTGAAAATATTCCAATTATGAGAACTCAATTGAACTTGAAAAAAAAACTAGGAGTCAAGCAGAATAAAAACAAAAAATTGAGTGTGAATAACTTAAGACTTTTCCTGAAAAAACCACACGGACTAAGTCAGTTACTGCAAATTTTTCATTGACGCTTAAAAACAAGTGGAGGATAAAACTGACCATATTCTGCAGAGTGCCTTGATGTACTCTCCGTTGGCGATGTACTTCGGGAGTCCGTATCCAGGGGGAGCCACACATGAGCACTCGTCCGGACTCTTGCACTGCTCGTCAGCTGAAACAATCACAGTTCAAATGACGAGGACGAAGACTGCGAAATGTTCGCTGACCATCATTGCCAAATAACCATTAATTGCAAAATAACCAGTCTTTGTGGACAAAAAGTTGGAAATAGGATTAGAATATTATTTATTTAAGATTCAATTGTAGCATCACTTTAGCATCGTCGAAAAATCAATAAAAAAACTTGCAAAACACATGTTTTAAGTTTATCAATGCACGTATGTATGAGTCAATTTAAATCTTTAATTGTTGAGAACTGTTTTTAAATAGGGTTCCTGGGCGAGTTTTAAGAAATCCAAAAACTGTTTTAAGAGATTCTTGGGAATCGTATTATTTATGTCAAGGTATTTCAATGAAAAAAGAACAAAATGTGGGTCCAGTAATACAAAATTATTGCTCACTGTGATTTTTCTATAAAAGGCAGGCTAAATTTTTCCGGGGGTGGGGGGTGGTGCATTAGAGACTGGATATTTTGCTGAGGTGCTGGGGGGCTCTAATAGGAACAACCTCAAATGTTTACCTGGATCGTAGATGAGTCCGTCTTTGCAGTAGCAGCCCTCAGCACAGAAGTCCTGTGGGATCATGAGACTGTAGTCGAGGAAGCCACTGTTGCACTGGGGTCTCACCACCGGACCACACTCCCTGTACTCCATACCATCCTCACACATAATTGCTAAAAGACAAACAAAATTTAACTGAATGAAGTTAACCCACACCAAAAGTATTCAAAACTTATATCTTCAAATTTGAATTCAGTATTTTTGAAAACAAAAGAAGCTTGAGTTACATTCAATTTACAGCACAAATTTGCATTTGGATTCTCCATAACAGCCCCAATCGTGATTGCTGCAGCACAAAATGATCATTTGAAGTTAAAGTTTGAATTTTTTTGAAGAAAAAAATCATAAGCTAAATTTCTACTACAATGTTACATCTTGTGAATTTGTGCTGTTGCACCTGTTAGATACTCGCGATCAGAAAAGTAATATTTAGAGTTAAAGCAATTGACAAAACTGTACGTTGAGAAAATAGTTCTTTTTTATAGAATACTTGGAATTAAAATAAAAAATTTGACATGAATGTGGATGATAAAAGCAAAGTAAAGCTCATTGCTGGAAATTAACGCTTAAATTGGAAAAAAAAGAATAAAATTCAAATTGAAATTCAGTATCAAAAATGTTGATAAAATAGGAAAATGTCAAATAATGTATAAAAAAAACGAAAACAAAATTTGAAAATGGTGAAATTTCTTTAAAAATTAATATTTTTTTGCACAATTTATCCCAAAGCAAATGTAAGGAAAAGCTCACGGCAATTGTGCAGGTTCCTCCATGAGTAGTAAGTCATGCCTTTGGCTTCACAAGCAGACACGTACTCCTCAAACTGTTCACACTGACACTCACAATCACCTCCCTTGTCACACTCGCACGAGTCCTCCACACACGCTGTGAAGTAAGAGGTCACCACCTCCTCTCCCAGTGCCTCGCGACACGAAGCGAACATGTCCTGGTGAATGAAGCCATGGCACTGCTCCACCGCCCAGTTCAGTCGGAACGGATGGTCCTGAATCAACACTTTTTTCACAAAGTGAGCAAACATGAGATTGTTTATTAGACTAGTATATTAGACCTATATGAACTAAAAATCAGATTATTAGTTTAACTTACATAACAGTAACAATTTAGACTTTTTTCGGTATTTACTATTTAATTGTGGTTTCTGCGATTCGCAGAGGATCTATGAAAGGCTACCCGGTCTGTATAGGCATATTCCGTTTCTCTTATTTACACGCATTCCCGACGGCGTTATTTTGTTTAGCGAAGCTCTTTTTTGCGACTCAAGATCACTTTTTGCGTCTAGAAATTTCACGTGTTACCACTAATGCAGCCATAACTGATCAAACTGCGGTCGACCAGTAGCTAAAGCTTAAGGCAGAGCTCGTCCTCACACACTACCATTGCTATGGCAGAAGATGGATAACACGATCTGATTATCACAAAGTGAACGCCTTATCACAAATGTCGATAAATTTTTACTTGTGAAAAACGTATCGTCGAATAAAAAGACAAATCAAAAAATATTTTAAAAAAAATTAAAAAAAAAGAATTAAGAATTCAAAAAAATTTAATAAAAAATGTTTTTGTCAAAACCCAATAGAAACTTGCAGAAACTAAATCCTGGAGCAAATTACCCGCACCATAAGACATTTTACATAGAGCTCTGGGAATGCTAGAAGGAACTTCAAAAACCATTATATTTTTTTGACACGACGAAAAAAAATCAACTTCTGACAGAAAATGTTCGGGAAAAAACGCAGAAAAGCCAGAGTTTCTTCATAACGATTTTTAGAAGTCTTTTTTTGAGAAAACGTTTCGAAAAACATCAAGAAAAAAATTCAGAGAAGTTACAAGTATCTCATCGAAAGGATGATAAAGTTGTGAAGTCTCCATTGCAGCAGGCCGCATAGCTCAGTCAGTTGGAGCATCGTGCTGACAACGCGAGGGTCGACAGCTGGAGACTGTCTGTAGTCAATGCTTCCAGCGAGCCAAAGAAATGAGTTTACTCTTTAAGACACGACAATTTAGAGATATTCAATTACTGAAGAAAAATTTTCTGGAAAAAACGCAGAAAAGCCGGAGTTTCTTCATAAGGAATTTTAGAAGTCTTCTTTTTGAAGAAAACGTTTCGAAAAATATCAAGAAAAAAAACCAGAGAAGTTACAAGTTTCTGTTCAGAAGTAAAGTCCACATAACTGGAGGCCGCATAGCTCAGTCGGTTAGAGCATTGTGCTATTAACCCGAGCGTCGAAAGTTCGAAACTGTCTGTGGGCAATGCTTCCCGCCAGAGAAAGAAATGATTACATTTTTACGACACGACAAAAAAATTCAACTTCTGACAAAAAACTTTCTGGAAAAAAAAACGAAGAAAAGCCAGTTTCTTCATAATGAAATTTAGAAGTCTTCTTTTCGGAGAAGACGTTTCGAAAAACATCAAAAAAAAAACTTAGTGATACAAATGTCTCATCAACAGGATCATAAAGTTGCAAAGTCCACGTTACAGCACGCCGCATAGCTTAGTCAGTTGTTGCATCGTGCTGATAACGCAAGTGTCGACAGTTCGAACCTGTCTGTGGCCAGTGCTTCCCGCGAAAGAAAGAATTGATTTTATTTTTATGACACGACGAGAGACAATTCAACTTCTGACGAAAAACTTTTTCGAAAATAAAACGCAGAAAAGCCAGTTTCTTCATAACAAATTTTAGAAGTCTTTATTTGAAGAAGAAGACGGTTCGAAAAATCTCGAGTAAATAAACGCAAATAAGTTACAAGTGTCTCATCAACAGGATCATAAAGTTGTGAAGTCGCCAGTACAGCAGGCTGCATAGCTCAGTGGGTTAGAACATCCTGCTGAAACGCGAGGGTCGACAGCTCGAGCCTGTATGTGGACAATGCTTCCCGCCAGAGAAAGAAATGATTACATTTTTACGACACGACAAAAAAAATTCAATTTCTGACGAAAAATTTTCTGAAAAAGAAACACAGAAAAGCCAGTTTCTTTATAATGAATTTTAGAAATCTTTAGAAGACATATCGAAAAACATCACGAAAAAAAACTCAGAGAAGTTGCAAGTTTCTCAATCATCAATAGGATAATAAATATGTAAAGTCCACAATACTACAGGCCGCATAGCTCAGCCGGTTAGAGCATCGTGCTGATAACGCGAGAGTCGACAGCTCGAGCCTGTATGTGGGCAATGCTTCCCGCCAGAGAAAGAAATGATTACATTTTTACGACACTACAAAAAAATTCAAATTCTGACAAAAAATTTTCTGGAAAAGAAACGCAGAAAAGCCAGTTTCTTTATAATGAATTTTAGAAATCTTTTTTTTTCGAAGAAGACGTTTCGAAAAACATCAAAAAAAACTTCGATTTCCCAGTACAGCAGGCCGCATAGCTGTCGGTTAGAGCATTGTGCTAATAACCCGAGGGTCGACAGTGCGAGACTGTCTATGGTCAATGCTTCCTGAGAGAGAAAGAAATGATAACTTATTTATGACACGAGAAAAAAAATCAACTTGACGAAAAATTTTCTGAAAAAAAAACGCAGAAAAGCCAGACTTTCTTCATAACGAATTTTAGAAGTCTTTTTTTTTTGAAAAGGAAGTTTTGAAAAACCTCAAACAAATAAACTCAGAGAAGTTACAAGTGCCTCATCAATAGGATAATAAAGTTGTAAAGTCTACATTACATCAGGCCGCATAGCTCAGTCGGTTAGAGCATCGTGCTAATAACGCAAAGGTCGACCGTTCGAGCCTCTTGATTACTTTTTATGACACGACGCAAAAAATTCAACTTTTGACGAAAAATTTACTGGAAAAAAACGCAGAAAAGCCTGAGTTCTTTCATAACGAACTTTAGCAGTCTTTTTTTTCAAGAAGAATACGTTTCGAAAAATCTCAAGTAAATAAACGCAGAGAAGTTACAAATGTCTCATCAACAGGATAAGAAAGCTGTGAAGTCCCCAATACAGCCGGCCGCATAGCTCAGTGGGTTAGACAATCGTTCTAATAAGGCGAGGGTCGACAGTTCGAGCCTGTCTGTGGCCATTGCTTCCCGCGAGAGAAAGAATTGATAATTTTTTTATGACACGACGAAGAAAATCCAACTTCTGACGAAAAATTTTCTGGAAAAAAACGCAGAAAAACCAGAGTTTCGTCAAACCGACTTTTAGAAGTCTTTTTTTGAAGAAGAATACGTTTCGAAAAATCTCAAGTAAATAAAGGCAGAGAAGTTACAAGTGTCTCATCAACAGGATGATAAAGTTGTGAAGTCCCCAGTACAGCAGGCCGCATAGCTCAGTGGGTTAGAGCACCATGCTAATAACGCGATGGTCGACAGCTCGAGCCTTCCTGTGGCCATTGCTCCCCGCGAGAGAAAAAATGGATAATATTTCTTATGACACGATGAAAAAATCCAATTTCTGACGAAAAAAATTCTGGAACAAAACGCAGACGAAAAAATCCAATTTCTGGATTATGACACGACGAAAAAATCCAATTTCTGGCGAAAAAAATTCTGGAGCGAAACGCAGTTTCGTCATAACGAATTTTAGAAGTCTTTTTTTGAAGAAGAATATGGTTCGAAAAACCTCAAAGAAATAAACTCAGAGAAGTTACAAGTGTCTCATCAACAGGATCATAGAAATGTGAAGTCCCCAGTCCAGCAGGGCGCATAGCTCAGTGGGTTAGAGCATCGTGCTATTAACGCGAGGGTCGATAAATCGAGCCTTTCTGTGGCCATTGCTTCTCGCGAGAGAAAGAATTGATAATATTTTTATGACACGACGAAAAAAATCCAACTTCTGACGAAAAATTTTCTGGAAAAAAACGCAGAAAAACCAGAGTTTCGTCATAACGAAATTTAGAAGTCTTTTTTTGAAGAAGAAACCGTTTCGAAAAATCTCAAGTAAAAAAACGCAGAGAAGTTACAAGTGTCTCATCAACAGGATCATAAAGTTGTGAAGTCCCCAGTACAGCAGGCCGCATAGCTCAGTGGGTTGGAGCAACATGCTAATAACGCGAGGGTCGCAGCTCCAGCCTTCCTGTGGCCATTGCTTCCCGCGAGAGAAAGAATGGATGATATTTTTATGACACGACAAAAAAAATCCAAGTTCTGACGAAAAATTTTCTGGAGCAAAACGCAGAAAAGCCAGAGTTTCGTCATAACGAAATTTAGAAGTCTTTTTTTGAAGAAGAAACCGTTTCGAAAAATCTCAAGTAAAAAAACGCAGAGAAGCTACAAGTGTCTCATCACTAGGATCATAAAAATGTGAAGTCCCCAGTCCAGCAGGCCGCATAGCTCAGTGGGTTAGAGCATCGTGCTATTAACGCGAGGGTCGACAACTCGAGCTTTTCTGTGGCCATTGCTTCCCGCGAGAGAAAGAATGGATAATATTTTTATGACACGACAAAAAAATCCAATTTCTGACGAAAAACTTTCTGGAGCAAAACGCAGAAAAGCCAGAGTTTCGTCATAACGAAATTTAGAAGTCTTTTTTTGAAGAAGAAACCGTTTCAAAAAATCTCAAGTAAATAAATGCAGAGAAGTTACAAGTGTCTCATCAACAGGATCATAAAGTTGTGAAGTCCCCAGTACAGCAGGCCGCATAGCTCAGTGGGTTGGAGCAACATGGTAATAACGCGAGGGTCGCAGCACGAGCCTTCCTGTGGCCATTGCTTCCCGCGAGAGAAAGAATGGATAATATTTATATGACACGACAAAAAAATCCAATTTCTGACGAAAAATTTTCTGGAGCAAAACGCAGAAAAAGCCAGAGTTTCGTCATAACGAATTTTAGATGTCTTTTTTTTTTTGAAGAAGAATACGGTTCGAAAAACCTCAAAGAAATAAACTCAGAGAAGTTACAAGTGTCTCATCAACAGGATCATAAAAATGTGAAGTCCCCAGTCCAGCAGGCCGCATAGCTCAGTGGGTTAGAGCATCGTGCTATTAACGCGAGGGTCGACAACTCGAGCTTTTCTGTGGCCATTGCTTCCCGCGAG